ATCCGGCCTCTGCGCCATCCTCCAAAACCATCTTGTCAGCCTCAATCTCAATAATACGACGTTTGTCCGCGCTCCTGCTAGCGCACGACCCAAGATAGATAGCTCACCCAAAAAGGGATCCAACTCGTATCTACCTAGTCAGGCACACTACCCTTTTCCACCCGTTCGAGCCGAGTCGACACTCAGTTCGGCTGGAATGCAGGATGAACGCTCCTATTAAACTGTTCCCCCCGCAGCCAAGAAGACTTTCTTCTTCTCACAGGTCTTTCAACCTCGCAACCTAACCAGTACACTCGTTTTTTGACGACCGATTAATACCACACTCTTTAATATATAATAATGTCTTCCATCATCCGCAACCTCCTCACGCTCAGCGCTGTCGCCGCCGTCGCCGTCGCTCAAGACCCAGCGTCGCCACCTCCCAAGCTCGACGCTCCCTGCGCCGATGCCGTCATCGTCATGGCCCGCGGTAACACTGCGCCGTACCACGACTGGCGTACATTCCCCTACGCCGACGCTACGTGCGCCAAACTAAGGGCTGAGGGCAAGACCTGCGACTACATTGAGGTTGTATTCCCGTACGGCGGCGACTACTGCAAACAGATTGGCGAGGGAGTCCGCAACGGTCTATCCCAGATCACTGCTTTCAACAAGAAGTGCCCTTGCACGCACCTCATCCTCAATGGCTTCTCTCAGGGTGCCTGGATTATGGGTGATGTCCTTGCTGGACCTGGTGGATGCTCCCAGATCACCACTGGTCTAGACCCTACCTCGGCTCCTGGTAATGCTAGTAAGTATTCCTGACATGACACACTCGAACCTTGACCGTGCTAATGTGGTAACTTAGTTGCTGCTGCTCTCCTCTGGGGCGATGTCAAGCACGAGAAGAACATGCCATACAACGTTGGCGACGGCTCTGATCTACAGAAGAGCGGTCGCGACGCCACCTCTCTTGCGCGCCTGAACCGCTACGCACCCGTTCTGCGCTCTTACTGCTCTAAGGGAGACCCAATCTGCGCCGGCGGCGACGACGTCGACAAGCACTTGACTCTCTTTGAGAAGTTCACCGAGGACGCCTCGAACTGGACCGTTGGAAAGATCAATGCCGCCGCCCCTCTATGTGCCGCTCCCACACCTACGCCCAGCGCTTCTTCTTCTTCTGCCGTCGCCTCGTCTGTTCGCGTTGCCGGTGTTGCATCTTCAAGCGCTGCTGTTTCCTCCAGTGCTGTTGCTGCTTCTTCTAGCGCTGCTGCTTCCTCTGGCGTTGCTGCTTCCTCTGGCGTTGCCGCTCCTTCTGGCGCTGCTGCTTCCTTTGGTGTTGCTGCTTCTGGTGTTGCTCCCTCTGGCGCTGCTGCTCCCTCTGGCGCTGCTGCTCCCTCTGGTGCTGCTGCCTACTCTGGTGCTGCCGCCTACTCTGGCGTTGCTGCCTCCAGTGTCGCCGCTCTTCCCGCTGCCCCTACATCTCCAGTATACGTTGCTCCCTTCACTGCTCCCCAGCCATACAATGACATGTGCGTTCCCGACATCACGATCAAGTATGTCTACGTTTAAAAATAAGAAGGACGGAAGATGTAGTGGAGTAGACGTAGTGAGAGCAGTAGATGGGTGTAGATAGATGAAGGAACTATTAAATAGAGTGACCGTTTTGGTCGATGTCTGCCTGAACTTTTGGTTTTCGTGCGTGAGGAATGTTTTTTGTCTGCTCTGCAAGTGCGCTGTAAATTCTTGTAGAGCCTTATGGTCCAATCTATCAACGTCTAGCTTGGAACGTAAACGTCCCTGTGAGCCCCCTGTATTCCCTGCAGCTAGTTTCCTGAATGAATCTAGGCCTACTCGAGACACCTTATCCTGCGAAACTCTAGCAAGTCCGCTGTTAAATCTGGTATATACTGGCGCTGAAATTCCTGCACAAGCCCACCATTTATATTAGGTGTGACGTCTGGGTTCTTGATGTTGAACCTATCCAGGATGGTATGGCTACTCACGCAACTAAAGGCACGTAAAACCGACAAATACTTATTACTATATATGGGACAGTATATACTATGCACACGGCTGATATACTAATCTGCGCGAACTGAGTGTATGGTAGTGTTGAGGATGTAGAGAGGCGAGCTCGGTACGGCGGCTTGGTGTGCATAGCATAAAACGACGAGTGGTCTACATGCTTGAGAGCTGAAGTTATGAGGCAGACAACACGTTCCTGCTGGCTGCTGTCTGTATCGGACGATCACGGCGCCTACTATGTTGGTGGTATTACGCGTCTTGCTTAGTGGAGGGAACGATTGGTGAGCAGGCCGCATTGCTAGAATTAGCAGAGCGGTTTACTGTTAAGGCTAGTAGGCTAATGTCAATCCCCTGATTATAGCTTATGTAGATCACTTTTTTGCGCTCCACTATTTCGGGATGATCTGTTGCTTAGCCCGGAGGAGCGTACGTAACGCAAATAGACCCTTCTCCTTTCTGCAAAAGCTTGCTACGGGTTGCGCGATACTGGAAACAGATGATTGAGCGGTCTTTATGATATCAGAACGAGTGACGAACCAAGCTTTCCGTCTGCTCAGCCATCTACAAGCAGTGCACCGGCGGATTAGTAGTTAGGTGGGTGACCACTAGCAAATCGCCGCTGTTGTATGTTTATCATTTTTTTTTGCTCTTCGCTTGCAACAACATATCAGTTGAAACGGACTGTCAAGGTCCGACTTGTCTTTGTCTAAGACTCATGACCTACCGACCTGGTAGCACGAATACTTTTGCGATCGCACAGATACCAAAGACAACTTGTTTTACTGGACTGCACCGGCCGATTTCGTGACAGCTTAATATCGACGATGACCTGCTTTTTATTTGAGGAAGTCGAGGACAAGCTCGTTAAACGTGTCGGGCTTCTCCCAATAACACCAATGGCCTCCCCATGTCACCGTTACACCTTTAGCTAGCTCTTCCTTTTCGCTTCCGTTTACCAGTTCGACTACCTTCAACGGTCCTGCAGCAGGAAAGCATCCACTTCGGCTACTCGCCACGACCAATACTTTTGTTCGATTTCCACTTTTGGATCCGAATGACTGCGCGATGGGATGCCGCCAATCATTTGCCGTATGGTCAGCCATCAACTTTCCATACCACCACCCATCTCCCTTCAGAGCCTGTGTAAGGAAGAATTCTTCATCCTCTTTCCATTCCACAGAATTCGATGTAGGGTTGCCAGGCTGTGGATGCGATCTATAGCCCAAGCACGCTGCGATGGTACCAAGGTGCGCCTCTTTGGGGTTCTCAACGAGCGACTTCTGCATCCCCTGAAGTGCTTCAAGGGAGTTGCATCCTAGGTTTCCAAAACCAGGACCCCAGTCTTCGAGGTAGTTCTGCAGTGGAGCTTGGTCTACGAAGATCATGTGCGAGAATGCGCGGGTAGTGAACAACTCGCTGTAGCTCCACAAGATAGCTGCACCTAGACTTGTACCAATGGTTTTGACCGTGCCGTCGCGAAAATTGAAGAAATCGATCAGGTTCTTCAGATCCATGGCTAGACGTGCGACGTGGTAGCCCGCTCTAGGCTTATCAGACTCGCCATGGCCGCGCAAATCGGGGACGATGACATGGAAGCTCTGGGATAATGTGGAGACATTGCGCTTGAAGACCTTGCCTGAGCCCGTAAAGCCGTGCAGCTGACAATGCAGGTCAGGCACGTAGAAGACATGTGCTCGATGGTGGGGGGGCTCACCAAGATCAAGGGAGCGGCATCGGGGGTGCCATACGTCTCGTAGTGAAGACCAACACCATCATTTGCCGTTAGTGTCGGCATTTTCTATATCGATAATGAAGTAAACGTTGATGCAGAGGGTGGCTGGGGTGATGAATCATAAGGTCTACTATTCCGCTTAGTCAGCGTTTCGTCGACAAGGTTAGCTCTGGCGACTGTTCCTGCCACCTACAACCTTGAAAGGTCGGGCATCAACTACTGCGACATCTCACACAACGAAGTTACTATCAAAGTCCAGGATCTAGGCACCTTCTTGCCTCTTTATAGTGGCTATTTTCCTTCCTTCTTCACTGTTGCACTGCGCGTCATCGTTAGTAGACATGTTGAGTTCAAAATTACCGTGCTATAGCAGTACTCTCAGGGAGTTGTGCTAACGATATCATTCCTGCATTCACACTACCTTCCTTATTAGTCTCCCTTAGCATATGCCATGGAAACCTCTCGTTCTTGATGAGTACCAAGTATTCTTGAATTTCTTTAATCTTCTCAGATATGCAAAGTCTAGTTCAGTCTTCTCTTCAATGAGGATGTCTCTCCACCGTCGACCTAGTAGCATGGCGAAGCACCACCGAACAATGAGAGGCTGACGGGACGACTGAGCTATGTTTCACTGGGAAAACCAGATACCGTAGCTTCTCGATACCCTCCGGGGGAGCATATCACCGCATTCGACTGGTAGGTCTATAGCGACTGCGAGCACGATGTTTTCATAGTCACCATGAATGATAATGGTGTCTCTCTGATATAGCCATGATTGCTGGGGTCCCAACTTGACGAAAAGGGCTTCATCCATCTGACGCGCAAACAACATGCGAGTTTGACCAGTAAAGTGATTCTTCCTTTCACTTCTTGTTCATAAAGCACGGATCTTGCTCTATCGATCATTAGATCACTGCTTCTCACTCCAGGCGCTGGTGCCTGAACAGACGCAAGACTCCTAGAGTTGATATAATCCAAACTTTCGCATACGTTGCTATACCTTCTCGCGCACCACTCTGGCTCAGTCCACTCCACCACCAGCCAATCTACTCGTCCTATTAGACCTCCTTCAAGTTCAACCACCGCCTGACTTTTCATCCGCCCAACGCGCATATCGGTCGGCCTTGGGACTTTCGCGGTAATCTTGACTATCGCGTACGGCGGACTACTCGAACACTCTCTCGCTCCTACTACCATCACCGGCTCAATTGGCACAGCACCTAACGAGATCTCAGTCAGAGTCTTGTCCCCAGCTGCAAACATGGCCACATTCAGGGGCACTAAGGACATTGCGAACAAGAAGACGAAGGGGCTCAAGGACCACAAGAAGATCCAGAAGGAGATGACACTAGCAAAACGTGCCGCTGCCGCTGAAGGGGTCAAGGCGAAGAAGATCTTGTCTGCGCCTGTTGCCGTCGTCTTTGCCAAGGTTGCGCCCGTGCAAGATGAATCCGCTGACGAAGGCGAGATACATACCATGATGAAGGAAGTCAAGGAGTGTATCAAAGAGATGACATTCAAGCAGCCCCTTGATATCGTTGAACACGGCAAAGCCCTGGAAGCTGCATTATACGATAACATGGAGACACCGCGCCAGATGCTGGTTCGCTGCAAGTATACCGCATCCATTGATGCAGAGCATCATCCTGTCGACGGAGACGAGGTTGCAAATGAGGCTGACCGCTCAGACAACGACGCGCTGAACTCGTTCAGGTCAGCGCCTAAATGCCTGGACGACAACTGTTTCGAGATCACGCCGATGATAACTGGTTTGACCGAAGACAACTTGACAACGCCAACCAAGACCACTTCTTCACTTGCGCTTCTCCGCTTGTTTGACTTAGTCAAGGACGCTGGCCAGACTAAAGTCGGTGCCTTCGGTTCATCTGTCTCTTCTGCACCTGACTCCAGCGAGGCTACAGAGTGCGACGAGATCATTGTCAATCTCCCAGATGCGAGCAGACATCTTCATGGTCGTGTCAACATGGGCCACATGTCCTCTGTCTCCGGTGCTCGGGTCAATAAGAAGCCAGTCGAGGTTCGCACCCTGGAGTCTGTTGAGACTGAGATGCGTGTCGCCCGCGATAAAAGCTCTGTTAACGCACCTGCGTTTGTGGATCCTGCTATCGTCGAGTACAAGATCCAAGGTCAGGCTCTTGTTGTCGTCGATGAGCATGCTCAAATGGCGAGCTCACCCACAGATGATCGCGGTGAAGACGGCAACATGCTGGGACCATTCACAGGATGTCGCATCATGTCTTCGCGTAGCTTGTCGCCAACATCGTCACATCGATCCCGCGCATCGTCGCCTGTTGACTCTCAGCGGGCATATACACCATGCACACAATACTCTGTCTCTCTGCCCCCGGACTTATCAGTCTCGTCCGTACCATTTGTTATGTCTAGCTACGTCGATCCACGTAGTGTATGGTGGTACGGCCCTGACGTCCAGATGAGCCCACATAACGGCGGGTTCTATGACCAGTCAGTGTCTTCTTAGTGGCATGCGCCGACCTGTACCCAGTGGGAGCTGATAGAGACTAGGTTGATCGACGTTGTACATAGCTCCAAGACTCCTGGTATCATGTGAAGATCAACACATCAGTATGTAGAATATGTATAGAAGATATCTGACATGCCATGTGCTAGTGACTATGGTCGCGACTCTGCTTCGTGAAGATAGCTCACCAATAAGCATTTATATATCATCCTGAAGGTATTCACCGTGTTGCGCATGCAAATCAGCGTGGAAGATCCAGCAAGTACCTCCAGGATACTTCTTGACGTCATGTGCAAATCACGGATTACAAGAGTGTGATACTGGAAGAGTAGGCCACGACCATTGCCAGTTACTATCACCACAAGGAGCTGCGGAGGTAGCTGAAGTCAAGTGCTTCTGGATCTGGAGCGTGGGGAAGGAAGGATGGTCAGGGTCTGGACTGCAGGTGCGGGGAGCTGTTCAGCACGGACTCTAGGGTTCCTGCGAGTAATGCGGCGAACCGCCGCAACCAAGACTCCCCACATCACATCGCTAACATACAAGACTCTTATACTACTTTCAGATCGCTATCTCCAGATTTACACTAGTACTATTCGTTACCCAACATCATGCTCAAGTCCAAGTGGGCATCCCAGCCCGATGAGGCAGAGAAAGCAGCTCCTGCAGCACCAGAGGCCAGCGCCACAGCACCAGCGTCTGCAACTGTATGTTTACCGATGCACTGACCCTGGGCCTTCTTCTACTATTATAGTTGTTTCGCTGGTATACAACGCTGACCCGACATTAGACCGACAGCGCGACGTCCTACGACCCCGCCTATAACGACCCGTCAATAGACCCATTCGCGCAGACAGCAAGTACAGACGACCTTTTCTTCGACGACGATATCACGCCAATCGCCGAGCCTGTCATCGAGCAGAATCCCGTCGAGCTGCAACCTTCGGCCGCCGAATTTGTACCCGAGGAAGTACATCCGCCGACAGCACCCCAAGCACATCTGGCCCCGCATGCGCCCCGAGAGCCACGTAACGCGGAGAGAGGTGGCCGTGGCCGTGGTAGGGGACGAGGCCGTGGAAGAGGTCGTGGGGGACACAACACCGACATTCGTCTAGAGCAGAACGACAAGAAGGTATCCGAGGCTCCCAAGGAAGCGACGCCCGCCCCAGCCGCCAACGCTACCGGAACCGATGCTCCAGAATCCTCAGCTCCTGCTTCCGCACCTACTGAGCCCAAGGAGAAACCCACACACGCCGTGCGCGGCGACAGAGGCCTGACTGGCGGCCCTGCACGTACGCGCTTGACAGAAGAGGAGCTGAATACGAAGCTTGCCAACATGCGCATTAAGAATGAAGCGCGCCAAAGCGCTCATGCTCGCGCCGAGGCTGATAAGGGCATTTTCGAGGCTCGGGAAGCCGTCATGCAAAAGCAGGATGTGGAACGCAAGAAGGCCCTTGCTGAGAAACAGAGGGCAGAACAGAAGGCATTGGCCGAGAAACAAAAGGCAGAACGCCAGAGTCGTCAGCAGATGATGGGAGAGCGTGAAAAGAACCGGCAGCGTAAGCTCAATGCTCAGATGGGCAGGGAGTGGGACTTTGAGAAAGAGGATGGCTTCTCTGGTACTGGAGAGGAGAAACGACGAGGTGCTGCCCGAGGTGCACACGGTGGTATCGCACCCTCTAGACCAACCGACAACGCATCTAATGGGGCCGAAGACTATCATGAGCCTGTTGCACAATCAAGTCGTGGACGTGGTCGTGGTGGAGGTAGAGGCCGTGGTGGTAGGGGTGGCCGTGGCGACTACCGGGAGTCTGACTCGAGGCCGACAGGCGCACAGAAAAAGCGCGACGATATCCCGCCTTCAGCATCAGACTTCCCAGAATTACCTTCCACTAAGGCCAAAGTAACTACAGAGACGAAGGACATGGACGATCTGACCGGCTTGCCGTCACCCATGGAGAAAGGACGTAGTTGGGCTGACGAGGTCGGCTCGTAGGGAGAGCAACAGCAAAAAGATTTGGTAAAAGAGATGCAAGAGCGATATCGAAGGGCTTATGAACAAGCCGCTAAGGATGAGGCGCAGAGGTATTCGCATCCAGCCTTCATGTCAGATGATGACTTCGCGGCATTGCCGTGGTGGGAGCAGGTGGAATACAACAGCCTCTACAACACCAGGCGCCGCCCAACAGTCGTGTCCAGTATCCGAACAAGCTCGCCTGATAGACTGAAGTCGAGCGATACAATCCATCCCATAACACGTCCTCCGTCGAGGCTTCGGTCAAACCCAGAATTCATAGCATCCTTAGAAAACCCATCGCAAATCGATTTGAACAGTGGTGATACTACACTTGTTGAAACGCTTCCTTTATCGCCGAATCCTCACCCCGCAGAAGTTTTTGACGAGTCGTTACAGCTGGCCGTACAGAGTGGGGAGACAACGCTTCTTGAATCACCGTCTGCTTCCTCAGTGTCCGCCTCGTCACCAAACATTCGGCAAACTTTGCAGCGTCTTGGAATTCTTTCTCCTACGTCATTTCCGGTGTTGCAAGATGCGCGCAGGTATCCGGTTTTGCAGTACATCACCACCATGAATGGTGTCCACGACTTCTACTGTTCTCATCGCTTGAGCATGCTGCCCATAGTAACGAGGGGAAGCAGCGGGGGCGAGTCACAAGGTGGCGGGCTTACCGAGCGTCAAAAACCCATAACATGCGCATCATGTCGTTCTATCAAATTCATTGACCTTCCACGCGACAGTCTAGTCGTACCTAGCGAAGAAACAAAGCATTACGCTAATGGAGTTACACTGATGGTAATTCGACGGAGCCTACCATATAAACCTGACTGTGATCTGTGTGGTGTCTTGAGCACAGCTCACCTCAAGGCAAGAAACAGCTGGGTGCCCAAAGCTTTTAATGTGGTGCGAGTTCCCAAGAACCATCCATGGGAGCAATTGCTGAGGCCTACACAAGAGGGGGACTATCTTATAGGTACTACCATCTTGCAAGGAAGTCCCAGTATCTTCAGAAGTCAGCGGGTCCCGGAACGTTATGATTACCGTCGCGCAAAAATCTGGATCGAAAATTGTTTACAATACCACAAACGCTGTCGCACTGGGAAACAGATTCCGAGTCAGATGCGACTGATGGATTGCTACAAGAAGAAGGTCGTAAAAGCTGACCCAAGCTCACGTTGGGTTGCATTGAGTTATGTTTGGGGCCCAGACGATGCTTCAGCATCGACCAAACGAACGAATAATGTTGGTCGATACTTGTGGCCATCTTACATTCCTAGAACAATAGCAGACGCCATGACCGTTACTGTTGACCTTGGATTTCGTTACTTATGGTGTGACGCATATTGCATTGAGCAAAACAACAACGCACATAAGGCTGACCAGGTACGCAATATGGACAAGATATATCGATACGCAGAATTCACGATTGTCTCCACTGGCTCCAGTAAGCACACCAGTTTACCTGGAGTCGACTGTGATCGCCAATCGCAGTACAAAGTGTTCTCTGTCGACAACAGAAACATTGCTTGTTTATCACGTGCTTCAATGGATGTCTATACGAGACTTCAAAGCTCAGCATGGATGAAGCGCGGTTGGACGTTCCAGGAATGCTTGATTTCAAAAAGGCTCCTTGTTTTCACCGATGTGGAAATGTCCTTCTACTGCGATACCGCGTCATGGACGGAATCTATTGGTGGCGTTGAGCACATCAAATATCCAAGTCGTGTGATATGGGATGATCGGGGCACGAAGTTATCGCCTGTCGATTCCGTCGACCGTACTTCGAGTGCGTCGTATCCTGACAGTATTTTTCATCGACACAAGAATTTCATGCGCTTGGTTGCGCAATACAGCACACGTGAACTACGCTTCGATTCAGACGCACTGAATGTATTCCTTGGGGTGATTGAGTATGCAATATCCCTTTACAAGGCTTTTGTGAGACATACACTGACTTCGTATACCTACATTCAGGTACTTGTCAGAAATACGGCCCTCACTTTACCATATCGCTGGCGTGCCATACTTACCAGGAGCAACGGAACATGTGGGCCTCAAAGAAGAGTACTTTTTTCGTTCATTGAGTTGGCGATTGCACTTTCCTAGCATGTGTACGCGGAGGTCAGGGTTCCCATCTTGGTCTTGGACTGGCTGGATAGGTGAAATGGTTAATACATTCGACCTTCCAGAAATTTTCACACTGTTCGCAAGAAATGTACATCTGGGCTCGGATAGCGTGTTTACAAACACGCACTCAATCCATGAAGAGCTCTCCCGAGCATTTCTCGACACCGTATCCGTCATTTACTTTGACGTTGACTTATTGACCATGCAGGATTTGCCTGGGTCCAATGAGCCCATGTTTGAAACTACCATGTGGGACATGGGCAAGGACCGGAAAGTAAAATAAATGTTTCCTGGCTTGACTTCTTTTGTTCGAAAGGAATTATATACGAGCATTATTCGGGACCTCTGGTCTTTCCTACTGCTTGGCTGCTTCTCTCAAGATGGGCGCAACAAAGGGTTACTGCTGGCTGTAAAGTGGAAGGACCCGGCCACTGCGGAAAGGGTGGGGTGTTTTCACATTGAAGACGTTGGGCCGATCATGTCGCATGAGCTGAGAAGGAAAAGGGTGAGACTCATCTAGGCCTGCACGTAGTTGTACATGACACGCATGGGCTCACAGACTTGTTTCCTGTTTGCGCGTGTCTTGTACAAGATTGAGCGATGTGGTGCAGGGATGGCGTAGGCGGGATCTTCGCGACGATGACGTTTTGGCTTCCCGGTAGCTTGGCCTGAACCCCGATTACAACATTTCTGGGCATGTCGACCCAGAAAGAGGGGACAAGCGCCGAAGCTGCCATTCCCTACTTCACCAATTTCTCCTGGTCTATTTACCGCATCAAAATTGCCCTGCTCACCTCGAGCTCGTCGTCGGACATGGCCAAATCAAAGGCGCTGCAGAGCAACCTGGACGTCGACTACGTGATTAGCTACCGCTTTGCGAAGACTGGTATGGGTGTGCCAACGCGGGGTTCAGGATGGATATGCTAACAGGCGCGCAGACAAGGCGAAGGCCATCGCGCAGTTTGAGAAGCTCTGCGAGGCTCTGGCCAACGTTGGGCTGCAGACCGAGGTCCGCAATGGAGAGTCGCACTCAATACTCCTCTTCGTGCGAGTGGCTTCAGACGAGCACTTGTTCGGTGAAGTATACAGGTCCAGGTACTCAAGACTTCATGCCGTTCATAGAGTCGCTTACTAATTGCCAACAGAGTCCGCGATTGGATCCACGGCGTTCGAACGGCTGCCCCCGAGAAGGTTACCCGCGAATCGCTCGAAGCCGAGCCCCTCTACGAGGCCGAGAGACTGCGCATAATATACCAGCTCATCACCAACCCTCCCTCTGAAGGTGGAGCCGGCATAACACCCAAAGAGGGAGAATGGGAGAACGTCGAGTCTGTCTTTGCGCTGCACGACCATGCCTACAACAAGGATTGGATCAAGAAGTGGACCTCGCAGTACATCCTAACGACGGAAGATTTGGACGACATCAGAAACCGGCTGGGAGAGAAGGTAGGCTTCCAAGATACTGTCTCGTGTCGTGGTAAACTAACATGGTCAGATTGCCTTCTATTTCGCCTTTACACAGTCCTACTTCACCTTCCTCATCCCCGCTGCCGCCTTCGGTTTCTTCTCATGGCTCTTCCTCGGCTCCTTCTCGCCCATCTACGGTCTTGCGAGCGCCTTGTGGTGCACCGTCTTCACCGAATACTGGAAACACCAGGAAGTCGACCTGAGTGTCCGCTGGGGCGTCAAGGGTGTTTCCAAAATCGACGTCAGGAAAAAAGACTTCGAACCTGAAAAAACAATCACCGACCCGGTCACGGGCGAACAAGTCGGTTTCTTCCCAGCATCCAAGCGCTTCCAGAGGCAACTGCTGCAGATTCCATTCGCCATAATTGCCGCTTGCTCGCTTGGAGCAGTCATTGCGACCTGCTTTGGTATAGAGGTCTTCATCTCTGAAGTCTACAACGGCCCGCTAAAGAGCGTTCTCGTAAGTGTTGAATCCGATCTGCAGCATATGGCTTGACTAACCCTACAAGGTCTTCATCCCTACTGGCATTCTCACAACCGTCAATCCTATTCTAAATACTATCCTAACCCAGGCTGCTACCCGTTTGACCCAATTCGAGAACTATGAGACGTCGCAGGCGTACGACAAGGCATTGACCCAGAAGATCTTCGTCATGAACTTCATCATGTCTTACTTGGGAATCTTCCTGACTGCCTTTGTCTACGTACCATTTGGCAAGGTTATTGTACCCTACCTTGACGTTTTCAACGTTGCTGTCCGGCCCTTCGCTGAGGACGAGAAGCAACTACACCTCAACTCGACGAGTTCCAGCTGGAGCATCAACCCCGATCGCCTCCGCAAGCAAGTCATATACTTCACAGTCACCGCCCAACTCGTCAACCTTGGCATGGAGCTTATCGTTCCGTACCTCAAGCGTCGTGGCCTTGCCAAATACAAGGAGATGCAGTCTGACAGAGCTGCAAGGAACGGCGGTTCCGCACCGGCCCCCGCCGAGAATGACCCTGCTGAGGACGCTGCCTTCCTTGATCGTGTCCGCAAGGAAGCAGAACTGGATTCTTACGATGTCACCGCCGATCTTCGTGAGATGGTTGTGCAATTTGGCTACCTGTCACTCTTCTCCGTGGTTTGGCCACTTACCGCTGTGTCCTTTTTGATCAACAACTGGATCGAGCTTCGTGCGGACGCCATGAAGATCTGTGTTGAGATGCGACGACCCACTCCATGGCGCGCTGATACAATCGGACCTTGGCTCGACTCTCTCTCCTTCCTTACTTGGATGGGCAGCCTTACTACATCCGCTCTTGTCTACATGTTTTGGAACGACCGCACTGGTCCCAGCGGCAGTCCTTCCAACATTCAGCTCTGGGCCCTCCTTCTGACTGTC